CCGGGCATGGAGCCGCCGGCCGCGCGCCCCTGAGCCCCGCGGCGTTCATGGTGAGTGCGGCCGGCCCGCCCACCGGCCCGGGCGCCTGCGTGGGTGCGTGTGCGTGTGTGTGTTGCACACGACTGCTCCAGTGAGCCGAGCCTTGCACGCGGCCACCGTGTTCCCCGCGTGCCTCCCAGCAGGCTTTGTGTGTGTGGTTTTGCGAGCTATTCTTCCAGGGGTCGGTGTTAGTGGGGGCCGTGGGGCCGTGAGAGGCCGAGGGGGCGAGCCGCCGCGTCCTGATTGTTGTCACCCCGCAGGGGACTGCAGCCTGTTCTCCGACTCGGGCCAGGCCCGGCCCCCCTCTCCCAGGCCAGGGGGGCCTTGCCCGTGGTCCTGGGGGAAGCCTTTGTGTGGGGGGCGGGAGGGGGCAGCCTGCACCGTTTGGTCAGATGGCAGCAGCGGTCAGGCTTGGTAAAACCCACAGTTCGTCTTTAACACATTGCATTCACCAGACCGCATATTAACTTCTGTGTTCTACGTGTTTTGTAAGGAGCACAACAATTAGAGGAGGTTCCCGACGGTTGCTTTCCCAAATGCCTTTTCGGGTAAGGTGGAGAACGCTCTCTGGGAACAGCGCTGCAGGGTGAGCAGCCTGGGAGGTCCTCAGGGGGCCTTTTTGCTGTGAGGTCAGGCCGCCGTGGCCACCAGGACGGTCTCCCGGAAGGCTGAGCACTTGTGAGACCTGGACGGGCCACTGTTCCGAAAATGTGCAGACCAGCGCCCCTCTCCCTCAGAACTGCTTGTTACCCATGGCAAAGTGTGAAACCAGCTGTGGCCTTCCAGGCGCTTCTCTCACGGCGTTTTCCCCACGGCCCTGTTGAGTACCCCTCCTAGTGGGAAATACTGAGAAGGGTAATTTTTTAGTAACACGACAACAGAAAAAATTCCCAGCCATTTTCTGGGCACCTGCGGCGGCTCTTACGGTAATCTGTTTTCACAGGAAGGGCGTTTTCACAGGAAGGGTGAAGGAATGCGCTCAAGGTCACGCTGCCGGTGGTGGTCCTTGAGGTTGAGGTTGAGACCCAGGCCTGCCGCCGCGCTGGCACTTCCCCTGCAGGCTGCCTGGGCCCTTGGCCTGTGCAGGTGTGGCTGCTGCCCTGCCGTGGACGGTGGGTCATGTGGATCGTATGGGGACCACAGCTGTCTTGCTGGGAACGGCCAGCCTTGCCACAGTATGCAGTTGAGTCAAGGACTGAAGCACAGCTCTTGGCTGACAGCGGAGTCTTCCAGGCAGCCAGGGGGCTTCCATTTCTGGCCACGCGCTCCTGGCGCTGTCGGTAGCATTGACGACCCTTCCTGCCGTCCTGCCAGGAATGCTTTCTTTTCATCATTTGAGAAGCTTGATCTTTGTCCTCTTAAAACAAAGGTCTCTCGAGGCCACCTTTTGGTTTTCCTTTTTAATGGCAAGTTAAACACTTACCTCAGGAGGCTGTCACCCTTATCCTCGCCCTCAGCACTGCTCTGATCACACACGGGATGTGGATCCCGCCGTGGGGCGCATCTAACGGGCTCGCCACGCCTCTCACAGGTTACTTTCCAGCTCTGCACCAAGTCCAGCTTCTCCCTCTTGGGACTAGTCCCACCAGCTCTAGGTAGCTTGCTGTTGAGACTTCGACTCAGCATCATTGCCCACATGATGTGCTCGCCCTGACCCACGGATGAGCCTGCCTGAGTGTGTCCCTTGGCTGCTGCTTGCCCTGTCAGGATGCCTCTCCCGCACCCGGCCCAGATCTTCCCTGTCCTTTGTGCACTCGTATGGCCCCCTTTATGAGATGCCTTCCTTGATTCCCGCAGCCGTAGACATCGGTCCTGGGGCTTGCTCTCTTGTGGCATTTTTCCTGATCTGCTCCCATCAGCTCTGCTGCCATCTTACTGCCCCTCCCAGAGCCCTTCAAGGCTGAGGTCTGGGTCTCCTCAAGTGCCGGCCCCATGTGGTCCCTTCACAGATGAGGTCCCTTTCCCTTTTCCTCCTGCCTGCTAAATCTGTTTTGCTTACGGTCCCTGAATGAACCTGGGGCCCTGCTCCTGCCTCCTGGCTTTTTTCCTGACCCTTTGCTGGGTCATCAGACCACACCCACAGCTCAGCCTCTGGTTCCTTGTGGCAGGTTTGTTTGCTGCTCTAGCTGGTGTTGGTCTGGTCTTCCCAGCAGGATACGTGGTAAACTCCTCAGGGCAGGGGCTGTGGCCTACCATGCTTACAAATGAGTGGCTTGTAAACTTTGTTGACCCCCATTCCTCCTCCCCCCCAGACAATTTGAAACTCTGGACGCAGATATAACTAGTATAGAACTGGTAACTAGGATAGAGCTGAAAGAAACTGTCCTTACTATGTGGACTCTGCATTTTTTTTAAAATTGTTTGATTTTTAAAGAAAATGTTGACATGACTGTCTAAACTGATTTATCACTGGAACTTTGAAAAACCCTGTTCTCAATTCCCTCTGTGGCTGGGCAGGGTGTTGGCAGGTTGATTTGTGCTGAGCAGCCTGCAGGCTCATCAAAACTTGATCCCATAGGGGTCCCAAGAAGAGAAGAAACTTTGTGAGGATAGATTGGCCTGAGGCTGGGCCTGGTCCACAGAAGGGGCTCACGCTTTAGTGGCAGCTGCGGAACGGGCCTCACTTCACCTCCTCCCAGGAGCCTTCACGGTTGATGCCTTTTCAGAGATGAGGAAGCAGGCTGAGTGAGGAGCAAGAGGACTTGCCCCAGGTCAGAACCAGGCCTACAACTCACTGTTCGCTTCCAGAGACCTGGCTCTTACCCCATCACATGCCACCCCTAACGCTGATAAGTCATGGCCAAAAGTTGTTTCTCCAGGGATGCTTTATTTGCAGCCCTCCTGCCCATTCCCCCCAAAGGATTTTTCTTTTTCTTCTTCTTTTTTTTTTTTTTTCTGGTTAAACAATGATTTTATTGCTTGAGTGCGTAGACAAATTTATGCAACCAGGGCAGAGGCTGTGGGTGACTCGTGTTTCCAACTGAGGGGAAAGGACAGGACTGTCTTGGTCTTATGAATATCGAGCCAACCACTAAACACGGCTCTGGGTCAGAATGAGCCAGAGTTTAGCATCCTTATCCTTTCTGTTCCTCTCATGCTGCTTTCAAACAGCAACAGCTTTCTTTTTTTCTTTTTTTTTTTTTTTTAAAGATTTTATTTATTTATTTGACAGAGATAGGGAACACAAGCAGGGGGAGGGGCAGAGGGAGAAGGAGAAGCAGACTCCTGGCTGAGCAGGGAGCCCAGTGCCGGGACTCCATCCCAGGAGCCTGGGACCACGACCTGAGCCAAAGGTAGACGCTCAACCAAATGCGGCACCCAGGCACCCCGCAACAGCTTTCTTAATTAAATGATAGGGATCCTCAGGAAGATCAGGAGCAAGTCCTTTGGACTTCAGAATTCTCCAGGTTTTATTTGCCTGTCACAGAAAGCACTTGGGCAAGGCCACATGAGCCTCGGGATCACACCAGTTCCTGAGGGAGTCAGGCCCTTCTCGGCCAGTGTGTACATCTGTTCCTCCGTATCCTCAGCCAGGTGGGGACGCTGGGCGGTGAGGCAGGGCTGGCTGGATCGGGCCCTTCTCGGGAGCGGGTGTGCGGCCCATGGTGGCCGCGGTCGCGCAGCGGAAAAGGGCAGTCAGTCCTTTCTGGCTTCTAAAGTCGGTTTGTCGTATTGGGAATATGAGCTAACTGTTGACACCTCCATGTGAGCCTCTGGAAGAACTAGGTGTGGAGCAAGACCTGTGACCGTTTCCAGTGCCATTTACACCTGCAATGCTGTTTAGAGTTTTGGAAAGGCTTTCCTTTCGCTTTCAAGTATGGGCAGGACAGGCCGCCTCTGTTTTTGTTTTGTTGTGTTTTGTTTTGTCTTAATCATGCGGTGCTCTCTGTGATTAAAACAAAAGTATTTGCCCTACATCTGCCCTTAATTCAATTTTACAGGTTTCTGTCATGGTTGAAAGCTTTCTTTAGACAGAATATGAGTGATTGAATTACTTCCGCATCATGTCTGTGAGCATCTCTCATGCATTCTGGAGAGTGCTGGAAACTGTGGCTGCAGAGCCAGATGCTTGGCTTCTGATCCCAGCCCCCCGCTCCCCAGCCGGGCCATTCGCTGACATCTCTGGGCCTGCACCTTCCCTCTGTGACATGGGGACAGAGGTGGTGGCTCCTCGCACAGAGGGCTGGCGGGAAGGTGACCTGTGTGTGTCACGTCCGCACAAAGCTCTCTGCTCATTCACGGAGCTGTTTGTACTTGTTGTAACAGAGCTTCCGAGTGCTAACTGAAGAGACCTGATATTTTTTGGTTACGAATCAGGGCATTTGGTTAACTTTACTCCTTTTTGTGTTTGTGCTGTTTGCAGACTTTGCAGGCTCCTTGATTGTTTGGCCCAAGAGCTAGCTTGCTTGCTTGCTTGCTTGCTCGCTCCCTCCCTCCTTCCCTCCTTCCCTCCCTCCCTTGTTTCAGGTCTAAGGGTAATGGCATTCAGCAACCAGGGCTACGCTTTATCAAGAACTTCCTGTGCGCCAGGCCTCTCCCTGTTCCTTAGATAGTCCTCTCTGGTTGGTATGGCTTCCCTTCCGTTTCTGCACATGCGGACATGAAGCTCAGGGATTCTAAGTAAGTGTTTTGCTGGAGGTCACAGCTGGTTCTTGGTGGATCTGAATTTTATCCCACACCGATCTGGCTCCAGGGGCCACACCTAACCTGTGTAGGACTGGGCCTTTTCCCTCTAAAACTGCACACCTGTTTGAGTGTATTCACAAAGAGATTGGGCTGGCACGGAGTGGTCAACCCCAGCCCCTTGCTGGCTGTGTACTTGGGGGTAAGACACTTCACCCTGAGCCTCAGTTACCCTATCTGTAAAATGGGGCGAGACTTGCCATGGAGATTGTTACAGAGATAGAATGAGACAGTATGTGTAAAGCACACAAAAGCAAATGGAAATGGGTGTCCACATTCTGGGACATTTAACTTGGGGCTTGTCATCTTTGGCCTTGGCATATAGTTCACTAGACCATGGTCAGCAGATGAGTAGCACCTTACAGGGCATTCATTACTAATTGTTGTTAAAATGCAACATGCCTCAGAATCTTGCTCAACACACAGCTTTTGGTAGATTGTCTATAAAATCCAAGACTTTGACATCCTGGTGCTAGATGTGAAGCTTCCAGTGGCTTGATGCTGTGTTAGGTCACAGCTGAGTGCCTGAAACAGTGTGTGCTCAGGTGTTGACTCGATGAAAAAGGGAGTCTGTTTTCCCACTTTGGGGTAGGCAGAAGTCATTTTGGTATTTTTGTGGGACCATTTCCTGGTAGACCGCGATGGCATCTAATCTTGTGCCCCCAGATGCACAGAAACTGCCCCACCCACCTGCTTCTTGGTGTACCCCTTCTCACAGCCTGTGTGTTTTGAGGAAATAAATACACTTTTCTACTTTTTAGAAGCTTCTATAGGCTCTTGTGGTTGAGAGAATAATTGCTGGCCAAATCATGTTACCAGTAACAACCCCCTTGGCAGTGAGTGTCAACTTAATTCATTTTGCAATTAATTGCTTTCCACTCATGATATTGCTTCTGTTGTTATCTGGAATGGTTATTTAAATCTTGGGTTAGCTATTCATTTGTCTGTCCTGTCTTGCCAATTAGATTGTCTTCCCTTAAGTGGGAGGATCCCGAGAGCCTCATCTATAGGCAATAAGAAAGTATTGGTTCTTTTTTTCTTTTTGGCAGAGGGCAAAGAGCGTGTACATACACGCACGCGCACACACACACGCTGTTTCTGAAGCTAGACTCTTTGGTCCCAGCTTGCTTGACTCTCCTGAACTCTTCTGGTTGGGCATTTGGAATGTGGGTCACCAGGTGTGACCAAGGGACACATTAGTTACCCAGTGCTGGTGAGGCTGCTCATGGCACAAATATTTATGTAACAACTTGCAGTCATGGCTTCATACAAAGATGTTAAAGAATTTTTTTTTATGTTTCTGCTTTTAAGAAAATGAAACTGCATTTGCACAACGTGGATGGACCTGGAATGTGTTATGCTAAGTGAAATAAATCAGACTGAGAAAGACAAAATACCATCTGATTTCACATATATGTGGAATGTAAAAAACAAAACAAATGAGTAAACAAACAAAAAGCAGAATCAGATCCATAATACAGAGAGCACACTGATGGTTGCCAGATGGGGGCGGAGGGACTAGGTGGGTGAAGGGGAGTGGGAGACACAGGCTTCCAGTTATAGAATGAATAAGTCATGGGAACAAAAGGCCCAGCACAGGGAACAGAGGCAGTGATACTGTAAGAGCGTTGTATGGTGACAGGTGGCAGCCACACTCATCGTGGGCACAGGGAACATATAGAGAAGCTGAATCACTGTGTTGTACACCTGAAACTAAGGTGACATTGTGTGTCAACTGTACTTCAATAAAAAAAATATATGAAAAGAAACACTTTTAATCATCTTCTGCAAAAAATGTTTAACCTTTTCTCATTTCAGAAACTATTTGGAGGGCTAACAAAAATACATAAAATGCCATGAGATAAAAGGAAAGGGGTTTGAAATTTTGGTTGGAAGTGGGTAGGAGATGAAGCCAGGGGGTCAGATGAATGCTGGAGTTGGCTATTGCTCTGGCTTCAAGCTTCCCAGTGGTCACTGCAATAACGAACAGAGGTTGACATTGTCCAGAAGCCAGAAGACACCTCTTACCCTGCAGAAGCGCAGAAAGCCTGAGGTGGGACTGCTGGGATGGTGGGCCTCAGTGACCACCCCCTCCCCCAGCAGCAGGGGAGGCTGCAGTCCTCACTGCAGAGCTGTATGACCCCTTTAGTTACCAATGTGTCCTTCTGAAAAGGAAGTATTTTGGATGTGCTATCCTCAAAGTGACTTGAAAGACTTCATTACAAAACCGCTTTCTTGCACTCAGAGAGGCTTCATAATATCAGAACTGGCGAGGTCCAGAGTTACCCCTTGTTTCTTTGTCCCAGGAATATGAAGACAAGGCTGGACGACCTAGCAAGCCACCCTCTCCAAAGCAGAATGTGAGGAAGAATCTTGATTTTGAGCCACTGTCCACCACCGCACTCATCCTGGAAGACAGACCAGCGTGAGTCTTTTTTTTTGACAGAGAGAGACACAGTGAGAGAGGGAACACAAGCAGGGGGAGTGGGAGAGGGAGAAGCAGGCTCTCCGCTGAGCAGGGAACCCGATGTGGGGCTCGATCCCAGGACCCCGGGATCATGACCTGAGCCGAAGGCAGATGCTTAACGACTGAGCCACCCAGACGCCCCCCAGCGTGAGTCTTAAAAAGAATCTCTAGAACGTTTGCTCGAGTTGATAAGTACAATTTGCTGATCACCTCTGTGTTACAAAAGAGCTCAGGTCACCAGAGGGAAGAAGAGTAAGCCCTAGCACATATTAAAATTCTCAGTTCCTCATTATTTCCTATAACACGTGTGCTGTAATAATAATAATAAAGAATTGATTTGCAAAACCGTCCTTTAACGCAGAAGTTTTGACAAAGGTTTTCCATTGAGGTGGTTTTTCATTTTAATTTAGCATTTAGAAATACTAAGTAGCCACTGTAAATTATGGGCTGGCTCCTGACGGTAAGAAGCGCAGGGAACTGTCCTGCAACGGGGGTGTTGTGGGGGCATCCCAGCGTCGTAGGACAGCTCCTGGCCTGGCCAGCTGGCTTCTTGGGGGTCGGCGGTACGTGGGCTGAGTGATCTTACCAGGCCTGCCTCTCCCTAGGCCTCTAGTGTCCATCGGTGGATAAGATGGGCTTTGATGACTGGTTCACACATCGCCTTTGGAGGTCTCAGTGAGGTAAAGGGACTGCTGCATTGTCCCAGGCCACAGATTGTCTCTCTTTAAGTATGGAGCTTCCATGAACATTGTGTTTGAGTAGAAAGATCCCACAGCTTTGAAAAGAGGGAGAAAGAGAGCTTGTTAAAACGGTGGTTCCTTAGGTCCCTGCCTACCCTGAAATCTAAAACTGATGAAATCTAAAGAAGAAATGGGTTTTCTTCTTCCTTTTTTTTTTAAGATTTTATTTAATTATTGAGAGAGAGAGAGTGCGTGCACATGGGAGTGGGGGGAGAGGGGGAGAGAGAATCGCAAGCAGACTCCATGCCAAGTGCGGAGCCCAATGCGGGGCTCAATCTCGTGACCCCGAGATCACGACTTTGAGCAGAAATCAAGAGTCGGATGCCTAACTAACCCAGAAATGGGTCTTCTAATGTTAACTCTCGGTCCATGGGAATTGTGGCTGTGTGGTGGATGGGGAGAGTCCTGCAGTGCAGGAATAGAAAGATGATGGGGACGCAGAAAGAGCCCATTCGGGACCACCCTCCCACCACTGTCAGAAGGCTCCATGCCGGGGTGCCGGGGTGGCTCAGTTGGTTAAGCGGCTGCCTTCGGCTCAGGTCATGATCTCAGGGTCCTGGGATCGAGCCCCGCGTTGGGTTCCCTGCTCAGTGGGGAGCCTGCTTCTCCCTCTGCCTGCTGCTCCCTCTGCTTGTGCTCTCTCTCTCTCTCTGTGTCAAATAAATAGATAAATAAAATCTTAAAAAAAAAAGGCGCCATGCCCTCCGGCAGAAAGCCGGGCGGTCATTCAGAATATGCCGGAACGCGGGCTGCTCTGTGTGAGGAGCACAGCAGCGGGACCTGCCGCCTCCCAGGTGTTAAGCACCCGCAAATTCACCAGCACGTTTCTGGAAGAGCCTGTGCGTTTGAGTTTTTTTACCCAGGAATCAAATTGCACATCCATTTAGATGCTCAGAGCTGTGATGCACATTTGTATGTAAAAGAAACAAAATAGATGAGCTCAATGAGCCCATAGTGGGTACAAAGCTCGCACCCCTGAGAAACTGGTCGGGGAGCGGATTCATCCAAATGCGCGACACTTGCCGTTAGGGTCCCTACTTCCTGGTCACTGTGACAGCTGGGGTGCACTGTGGTCAGCACACGGTCGCCCTGGAGCCCGACTGAAGAATCCCGGGAGATCAGCGTTGATGGGAGCTGTGGGCAACTGTTCCTTTCTTTCTACTAATCTTTCTCCTTCAGGGTTTTTTAATAACGAGCTTGTTTTATTTCTGTAAGTAAATATTTTTAGTTTATGAAATTGCTGCGTATTGGGTTATCTTAGCAAATGTAGTTTTTTGGTCTTTTGAGTTTTTCATTTTTTTTAGTAAATGATTCTTCAAGTTTTATTTTTCCAAGACTTTTATTTGATGTTTATAATAGTGAAAATCCTCTATTTTCTATCAAGAAACCTCCCAGCGAAGCCAGCTGAAGAAGCTCAGAAACACAGGCAGCAGTATGAAGAAATGGTGGTTCAGGCCAAGAAACGAGGTAATGGAATCTGCACATGTTGGTTATGTAAGACGGCACGAGATTTCGTGTCTTTCAGGAGATTTTCTTTTTACCTCCTGGAGCCCTAGATCCTGAACTTTGGTGGATGCCTAAATATTTTGAAATTTGTAATTTTCCATCAAAAGCATATGTTTCCACTAAAACTGTCCATTTCCGGTAGCTTTCTTCAAGGCGATAACACTTTGGTTTTTTTTTTTTTTTTAAGATTTTATTTATTTATTTGAGAGAGAGAGAATGAGAGACAGAGAGCATGAGAGGGGGGAGGGTCAGAGGCAGAAGCAGGCTCCCCGCTAAGCAGGGAGCCCGATGCGGGACTCAATCCCGGGACTCCAGGATCATAACCTGAGCCGAAGGCAGTCGCTTAACCAACTGAGCCACCCAGGCGCCCGGAGGGAAATACATCTTAAATAAACATGTAATTACAAGTGTGATTAGTGCTGTGAGCAAACGGAAGCTGATGCTGGGAGAGAATGATGGGGCCTTGTTCTGGCTCCAGCGGGCAGGGCAGGGGCAGCTTCTGTGCCAGTGACTACTTATGACATGATCTGAAGGATGGTCACCAGCCATTGCATAGTGTCTTTCGCTTGTGAAGAAAAACTCTAAACCTACAGAAGGGTTCCAGGAATAATTCAGTAAGCACCGTATATGCTCCGCTGAGATTGAACAGTCGTTGACATGAGGCTATTCATTTTATTGTGCCTCTGTTTTTTTTAAATGGAATCATTTGAAAGTAAGTTGCAGGTATGGTGACATCTTACCCCTAAATACGTCAGCATACAGGTCTTCAGGGTGACATTCTCGTATATCAGCATGAGGCTGTTATCACACCTAGGAGAATGATCAGTAATTCCATTTGACGGTGACCATGTTCACGACCAGACCACATTCTGCTTTTCCCCAGTTGCACCAAACTGTTCTTCATGAACCAGAATGCAGTCAGGCTTGTGTATTGCCCTTAGTTTTTTGTTCCTTTATTATTCTCTTAGTATGAAACAGTCATTCTGCCATTTTTTTGTGACATTCACCTTTTCCTTTTTCCCTCCCTCCCTCCCTCTCTCTCTCCCTTTCTCTTTCTTTTTCTCTTTTTCTTTCTCTCTCTCTCTCTCTCTTTCCTTCCTTCCTTCAGCCATGGGTCAAAGATTCATTTAACACATTGAGAAGTTGAGTGAGATGGTAAAATTGATTGTAAGGGCATTCGAGAAACTAGGTATTTATTGGCATAAAAACAAGAAAAGAATGGATTGTTAGGTTAGATTTAAACCAACAGACTGGTGGGGAGAAGAAAATAAAACCTCTGGAGTTGTTTTTTCTATTGGACATCAATCTATAAGTTAGTGTGTCTATCACATTTTCCAGGCTCTAATAAAGTAATAAATAGCAGAGACACATCCTCCTGGAGGACTGAATAAACTTCTGGTGGACGTGTTAAAAGTGCCCAGGTATAAATTGAAAGGACACCCCACCCCCCAATGCTTTTGTCTTCCAAATTTTGAGTAATTTCTCTTAAGGCTTTCCCTAATCCTTCCATCCAGAATCAACCTCTCCCCCTTTATCCTTTTATTACTTTTTGAAACAGCTTTATTGAAGTATAATTACCATAAAATTCCTCATTGTCCATGTTCAGTGATTTTTAGGAAATTTATGCAGTTGTGCAACTGTCCGCGCACTCCAGTATTAGGATGCTTTTTTCTAGAAAGTTCCTTCAGGCCTGTTGGAGTGGGTCTCCACTCCCTCCTCAAGCTCCAGGCAAACACTAATTTGCTTTCTCTCTAGAGATTTGCCTTTTAAAGAAACTGCACAGACACGGAATCCTGCAGATTATCTTTGGTGGGTCTTTCACTTCGGGTCATGTTTTGGGGTTTGCCTGCATAGTAGCCTGCGTCCATGGTGCCTTCCTGTCCATCAGTGTCCTCCGTTAATGTGCGGTGGCGTTATGAGTATTTGCATCAAATCTCTTTGCGGACGAGCGTTTTATGTCTCTTGGGCAGGTTCCCAGGGGCGTGGTCGGTGTACTGAACTGTGTAGGGGACTGCCAGACTCTTCCAAAATGGCTGCACCTGCCAATGACCAAGGCAATTCCAGGTTCTGCACATACACCCCGTTCCTCCTCCTCCTCCGTCTTTTCGAGTATAGTCGGGTGGCTATCATAGGCTTCTTCCGAGTGAAGAAGTTTCGGGTGGCGAGTTGGGAATGCTGTTCTTCAGAAAATCAGCTGGGGAAGGCCCGGTCCTCCTGGTCCGGGCACTTATGAATTTACACCCCAGGGGCGTCTTGCGTTGTCTCACACTGAGTTTGTTCAGCCCTTGGACGTTGGACCCACGGGCTGCCCAGAAAGAATTTTGCCCCTGCGCAGATTTTAAAGATTTCTGTAAATCGAGGTATAATTTACAAACAGTGGGATGCTCTCATGTGAAACGCGCTCTTGGTTGGCTTGGATGAGTGCGCGCGGAGTGGTCGGTGGTGTCACCGCGCACGGAGTCTAAAGCCCCTTCCACCGACCCCCCGGAGCAGTCGTGAGTCCGGTTTCTATCAGGATGGGTTTTGGTGTGCAGCCTGACGTTCGGATTGAACGCATCCGACTGCAGAAAAAAGATGAGCAACCGTATAGAGAATAAAAGTTGCTCGTAGCCCACTACCCGGAGCTTGGTCGTGTGGACATTTTACATAGCTCCTTTGGTAATACAGGTTTCTTATTTTATTTTTATTTTTAAAGATGTTGTTTATTTGACACAGCGGAATCACAAGTAGGCAGAGTGGCAGGGAGCGGCAGAGGAGAAGCAGGCTCCCCGCTGAGCAAAGATGCATGATTCTTATTTTAAAAAGCGTACCGGAGCAGAGCTTTGCGCGTGTTCGGTGTTTCGCCGCTTCCTCTGTGGAGCGTGCGTCTCCTAGCGCGATGCTGCTGTGCTGCGGTGGCACGCGTCCCTGTCCCTCGGTGCGAGCCGCGGGGCGGCGGGTGTGC